TAAGACTCATACGACTATAAAACTAAGACTCATACGACTATAAAACTAAGACTCATAATACTATAAAACTAAGACTCATAATACTATAAAACTAAGACTCATACGACTATAAAACTAAGACTCATAATACTATAAAACTAAGACTCATAATACTATAAAACTAAGACTCAAAATACTATAAAACTAAGACTCATAATACGATAAAACTAAGACTCATACGACTATAAAACTAAGACTCATACGACTATAAAACTAAGACTCATACGACTATAAAACTAAGACTCATAATACTATAAAACTAAGACTCATAATACTATAAAACTAAGACTCATAATACTATAAAACTAAGACTCATAATACTATAAAACTAAGACTCATAATACTATAAAACTAAGACTCAAAATACTATAAAACTAAGACTCATACGACTATAAAACTAAGACTCATACGACTATAAAACTAAGACTCATACGACTATAAAACTAAGACTCATAATACTATAAAACTAAGACTCATAATACTATAAAACTAAGACTCATACGACTATAAAACTAAGACTCATAATACTATAAAACTAAGACTCATAATACTATAAAACTAAGACTCAAAATACTATAAAACTAAGACTCATAATACGATAAAACTAAGACTCATAAGACTATAAAACTAAGACTCATAATACTATAAAACTAAGACTCATAATACTATAAAACTAAGACTCATAATACTATAAAACTAAGACTCAAAATACTATAAAACTAAGACTCATACGACTATAAAACTAAGACTCATACGACTATAAAACTAAGACTCATAATACTATAAAACTAAGACTCATAATACTATAAAACTAAGACTCATAATACTATAAAACTAAGACTCATACGACTATAAAACTAAGACTCATACGACTATAAAACTAAGACTCATAATACTATAAAACTAAGACCCATACGACTATAAAACTAAGACTCATAATACTATAAAACTAAGACTCATACGACTATAAAACTAAGACTCATAATACTATAAAACTAAGACTCATACGACTATAAAACTAAGACTCATACGACTATAAAACTAAGACTCATAATACTATAAAACTAAGACTCATACGACTATAAAACTAAGACTCATACGACTATAAAACTAAGACTCATAATACTATAAAACTAAGACTCATACGACTATAAAACTAAGACTCATACGACTATAAAACTAAGACTCATAATACTATAAAACTAAGACTCATACGACTATAAAACTAAGACTCATAATACTATAAAACTAAGACTCATAATACTATAAAACTAAGACTCATAATACTATAAAACTAAGACTCATTCGACTATAAAACTAAGACTCATACTACTATAAAACTAAGACTCATACGACTATAAAACTAAGACTCATAATACTATAAAACTAAGAC